CTCCCTCTCCCGCCCCCGAATGAAGTGGTCCCCATTGCCGAATTGAAATGGCCGGCCCCCAACACCTCCCCCCCCCCACAGCAAAAAGGTTCCGATGGTCCAAATGAAAGGGCCTCAATGGTCCAAACAAAATGACCCCGTTTGTCAAAAAAAAAGAAAAAAAAAAAGAAGGGGTCCATTCCCAACTGTTCAAATGAGACAGCCCCAAAGGGCCCCACAAATGTTACAGGTCCATTGGTCCAACTGAAAAAATGGCACCAATGGTCCAGACGAACTGCTCTGTTCCAAAAATGGTCACAAGGACCCAAACGAAAAGACATGACTAATTCCAAAAAAGAAAAAAAAGAAAAAAAAAAGAGACTAATTCCCAGTGGGGTCCAAATGTCATGGTTCATTCCAAGGGGTCCCACTTCAACAGTACATTCCCAATGGTCCATCCTTATGAAAAGAATGACCGCCAAGGGTCCACATAAGACGCGATCAGTCCCAATTGTCTTGTGCAAATGAAACACCCCATTTCGCCAAAATGGGGTCCAAATGAAATCGCTCATTCCCATTGGGGCCCAAATTAAATGATACATTGTCAATGGTCCCTACTGAGAACATTACCCCGAAGGGTCCAGATAAAAAAATGGGTCCCAAATGTCCAGAGGAGATGGGTCCCAATGGTCCACATACTCTGGAGTCTGGATGGGTCCCAATGGTCCAAATAAAAATGGTCCCAAATGTCCAGAGGAGATAGGTGGTCCCAATGGTCCACAATAAAATGGGGTCCAAATGAAATGGTACATTTCCAGTCAGCGGTCCCAACGACACGGCTCATTCCTAGTGGGTCCCAAATGAAATGATGGTCCATTCCCAGTGGTACCAATTACATAGCAGTAAAGTCCCAACGGTTCCTCTACCTATGAAATGACCTCCAAAGGGTCCACATAAAAAGGGAAATGGATGGGTTGGGTCCCAATGATCCACAACGACATGGTCCCAAAAAGACTCAATATCCCACATGAACAATGGTGCCAATGGCCCACATATGTGGAGACGGCGAAAGGACCCTGGTAGTTTCATACAGGGGTAAAAAATCTGCCCTTCCCTATTTCTACTGAATCTCGTACCTTCGATCTATGTCCTCTGTATCGAGTCCCCCGTAATTTTGATCATGGCCTCTGCCTGCAAAGTTCCTAAAGCATCTCGCACCTGTGATAGACGAGAACAGAAAACAAAACAAAAAAAAAAAAACAAAAAAAAAACAAAGCACAATATAATTATTAATTTATTGCATAATATTATAATTTATTATTTAATAAATTAATAATAACCTACATTACCAGGGGCCTGGACCCATTAGCAAAATATTCTACAGTTTCTACCAGTCCGTTCACGATTTCGATCATGTGTGGCCTCGAGTGACGCAGAGTACGGCCGTCGAATACATCGGATCTCAACGGCCTGGTAGTTTCTGAGCGGGGATTGTAAAGAGATGCCAATTGCCCACCTCCGTCCAAAGAGATGCGTCGAAAAACAAAGAAAAAGTCTGAAAATTTTGTGAAAAACAGATATGGACACGATAGCTCGTGGCTTTGCGTGGGCGGGAAGTCTGGATTTTATGGACTCGAAAGGGGGGGGGGGGGGGGGGGGGGKGKTTTMTGWTKTTTTTTTTTTTTTTTTTTTTTTTTTGGCTCTGAGAAATCGAACTTGAAATGTGAAATTCAAATATTGTGGTGGATCTGACAGGAACGCCTCCGCGCCTGTCGGATGGCCTGTTAGAGGCATCATGAGATACATGGTGATGAATGTATTCCCAAACCCGTTACTTGTTCATCCTCGTGGCTGTGTTCGTGGACACATTTTATTGCCCCGGTACATCACTATGAAGACTTCCGTGAAGGAGATCTATCAACCCATGAATTCGGATGCACAGCTGTTCTTCTTTGTTTTATGTGCCATTTCAATTCATTTTAAATCGGAAAACAATCCATTCACACAAATAAAAAATCACTTTGTCTTTTCTAAAACTCCATAAAATTGCGTCACACATCGTAAAATACTTCGCTAGTGGGTCCAGGCCCCAGAGTGGCCCGGGACCACTTGCCCGGCGGAGCCAAAAATGAAAAAAAAATAAAAAAATAAAAACATCATGATGAAATTAATAAATTGATAAATTATATGAATCTTTTATGATTATATTTTTTTTGTTTTTTTTAATTTGTGATATGGCAAAGAAATTCGACGTAATCCTGAGGCTGTGTTGTCTTTGTAAAAGTTCAACTGTTGACACTTTGATGGTATACCTTTAATAGTACTTAGGCATTTGATAGCATTTGTTAGTTCTGTTATAATTTTCATTTTCTATCTTTCAGCATTGGTTAGTTCTGTTGAAATTTCCATTTTCTATCTTTTGGTTTTCCTTTTTCTGCTGATTCAGCATAATATCATGATGACCACAGTCTAATTTTTTTTGGGCTTGACCGGTGATGTCTTGCCCTGAAATTGGACTGACAGACCTTTGTAAGGGACGCCAGGCCCGCTTCCTGGCTTTGTAGTATAAGGGACACCGGGCCCGGTTCCCGGTTTTTGCATTTCAAAAAAAAAAAAAAAAAGTTGTTCAGTTTATTTTTCTGCACAACATAGTTAAAAAAAAAAATCGGATTTTTGGATTTTTTTTTTGTTTTTTAACAGCGACCCCGGCTGGGCCCACCCGGGCAACCAAGGTGACCCGGGCAGCCCAGTTGGTAATACAGATAATAACAAACTAATAATTATGCGCACATCAGAAGGAAAGATCCTTTGCACATTATGACAACCGGTTCCGGGACGCGCCGGGTAATGCAGGAGGTCGGTGGGGTTTGGTGCCTACCGGACTGAAACGGCTGGCAGCGCCAGTCAAAACGAGTCCCGCGCCGGTTCGTTTTTTTTCGGCGAGCAGGACAATTTTCGGCTCGGCGTCTATAGCTGAGAAAGGCACTGGTGTTTTTAAATGGGGTGGCCGTAGCCCAATGTTTACTGCCACTGTCTCATTTCATCAGGATTCAAACTTTCGAAGTTTTCAAACTCATGTTCTGTTCTACAAACAGTTAACAACTTAACATGTGTATACTAGAACTGGAGGGGGCGTTTTTGTTAAAAAAAAAAGAAAAACAAAAGTGTTTAGTAATAATAGTACTGTATAGTAGTGTATACCATTGAACCACATTGGCTGAGTCAAAACCAGATTGTATTGCAAGGCTGCGCAACATTTTTTTTTTTCCCTTTCCCCATGACCTAGGCTACCGGGCCTGCCGGGTCACCCTATTTTCCCGGGTGGTCTAGCAGTGCAAGGTCCAGGGAAAGTCCCTGCGGAAAGAAAAAAAAACCCAAAAAAAAGTATGTTATGCAGAAAAATAAACAGAATATCTTTTGCCTCAGGGTCGGTCTCGCCCCTAAACAGGACCACGGAACTTTTATAAGGGACGCCAGGCCCGGTTCCCGTAACAAAAAGAAAAAAAAGAAAAAAAAGAATCGTTACCAGATTTTAAATTAAAAATAAAATTAAAAATGATTTTTTTTTGTTTTTTTTGGCCCGACCGGGCAAGTTATCCCGGGTCACGCTGGTAGCCTAGCCCATGACTTCATTATTTATTTTTCCACTTTTTTTTTCCCTTTTTTGCAAATGAACCCTGTACCTGATTCATGGATGACTGGCGCAACACTCCCAGGACCTCGCAATTGCCATTCAGCTCTATGTAAGACTCTGAGCCCTCAGGAGCATCCAAAAAGGGCCCCTTTGACCATTCAAGTGCCCCCCCTAAGCGAAGACATGCCTGCATTTTCCAGAGGGCCTATTTTTGGCCTTTCTGAGAACACGGGTGAGGGCTCCAGACAGTTTCTGGGGGCCAGTTGGTTGAGCACAGGGAAGCTGTGGCTATGGGCCCAAGACATCGCGAGTCCCAGAGGCTCTTGTGGAGCTGCCCTGTTGCGGTGCGTCCACTTGTCCACTCAGGAAGCAGCGTGCGACAAGGGCCACATCATACAGCTGAGCGGCACTAACTGCTCCGGTCCCAGGCCGCTATCTGAATTTCGGCCTGGGCGCAGATACTGGGACTGGACTTGACGCTACTAGGAACCAGAGAAGCCCACACGGCCAGCACTTTCCATAAAGGAAAGTGCTCACAGCCAGGCCAGGCATTCTGGCGGGCGCATTGCTGCGTGAGCGCGGGCAGGCAGGCGGTAGCCAGGTTGTGCGCACATGGGCTCTGGGTGGAGCGCGGCTGGATGGCAGGCCGTGGCTGTGTGGCTGAGACATCACAAGTCCCAGAGGCTCTTGTGGAGCTCGCAGTATGTCCACTCATCCGATCAGGAAGCAGCGTGCGACAAGGGCCACGTCATATTGTTGGGCGGCCCTAACTGCTTCCATCCCAGGACACAATCTGAATTTCAGCCGAGACTGGACTCAAGGCTACTGGGAACCAGCGACGTCCAGCCCAGGGCAGTCCACGCAGCCAGCACTTTCCATAACGGAAAGCGATCGCAGGCAGGCCAGGCATTCTGGCCGGGGCATTGCTGCGTGAGCCCTGCCACTTCGAGTCATGGGCAGGCGGGTGGTAGCCCGATTGTGCACACACGGGTGCTGGGCGGAGCGCGGCTGGATGCAGCGCTGGAGAGCAGCCATAGCCGGGCCGCTGCTCCTTGGTTGCCGGTGGGTTGGAAGGCGGTCTTCAGGTCAAGCAGGCTTGCATGACCAGGAGCAGACAAGGAATGAGGTAGAGAGAGTGAAGGGACATACTTGATTTGCAGCGGAGGTCCGCATGGGCGACATCGGCACGTATATCAGTCCTGCTGCTGAAGTCTTCCGGTCACATCATCTTAGTTGTAGGCAAGTATAGGTGTTGCATGATTGTGGTTGGGCGCCAGGCGTCAGACAGAAGAGAGACCTTGGATACATTACATTGTCGATGACTCGATGGTGATGAGAAGAAGGGCTGACATTGACTTTTTTTTTTTTTTTTTTTTTTTTTTGACATTGACAATTGAGTTCATTGCTTTGCTCTTGTTTGGTGTGAACTCGGAGCATTCTGCTTTCTGTTCGACACATGACTATATGCTTTTCAATGTGATGGGCAGTTTGCATTTCTGTCACTTGCGCTCACTCGTATTCCTTGCATCTACAACTAAAAAGAAAAAAAAAAAGGGAGAAAACTCAGAAAAGGCAAAACGTAAACAAAATTTGAAAAACAGGAAAAAAAAAATCCCTCATTTGAGTCATTTCTTTTTAGAGTAGCATTTAAAACGAGAAAAAAGTCCTTTTTTTTTTCTATTGTTGGGAACAGAACAATTCTAACAAGGGTAGAGGACAGACTCACCTCGTTCACGGAAACATCCATTGTGTTCTGCTTCTTCAGCTCTTCCAGAAGCTGCAAATGAACACAGAACAGACATCAATACCACGATTCAGTTATCAATACTAGATAAAATCAATAGTCACTATTAGTCAGACAATTTCCTAAAATAGTAAACAGCGCTTAACAAACACACACACAAAAAAAAAAAAAAAGTAGAATAAATTGAATAATATAGTTCCATTTACTTTCCAATTTCCGACAACGAGCAAAAGCTTTTACTACGTCATCACAGTTCCCAGGATGGATGAGAGACACGCGCAAAAAGGCTGCAAAAGCACACGCCCACGACACTCCAACACACTCGTCCTCGACACCTAAAACATCAAATGAACCTTCTATGCCCCTCCCCCCCCCCCTCTGAAGTACATTCTCCTGCCCTGCCAGGGAAAAACTACAGATTTTTTTGGACACCTTTGGGAGCATCAGCTAGGCTGTTTGGCCGGGTGCCCGGGCACCCAACTTGTGCCCGGATGCATGCCCGGGTGCCCGGCCGGGCATGATCGCTGGGCAGGCTCTAGAGCAGCCCCGGCGCCAATAAATAAATATAAATAAATAACCAAAATCAGGCAAAGAAAAATAAATATGTTGTGCGGAATTGCAATGCATAGTTGAAAGTTTGAAACGAGTTTTTCTTTTTTTTTCACCAAAAAAAAGAGAGTATATCATATCATCACAGGCTGGGAAACGGGCCCAGTGTCCCTCACATTGAGTGTTTAGGGTTGGAGGTGTAGATTTCTCGTTGCATTTTCCTTTCCATTGTTTGAGTTGGTTTGCATTTTAGGGTTACGGTTTGCGATGTTAATTAGTGTTAATTAGGGTGTGATGTTAATTAGAGTTAATTAGGGTGTGAATCCGTGTGATGTTAATTAGAGTCAATTAGGGTGTGACGTTGCAGGCTGACGGGTGCTCAGCCGCAGTGGTGTTAATCGAGGCAAGAGAGCCTGCATTAAAAAAGAAAACATCACAATTCTCCAGCCTCGATTAACCCCTCAGCCAAAAGTCGTTCATTCCAGTTCAAATTTCAAACGACTTTTGGCTGAGGGTCATATCAGAATTCCTCACAGTGCCGGAGATAAAAACGAAAACAAAAGAATCAGACTAGGGCACACCTCTGTAAACCCCTTTAGCCCCTTAAGAACCCATCTATACCCCCCTTCCACCCCCCCTTGACAGCCGGAACTCGAAAAAAGAAAGGGGCCCAGATTTGGCCTCCTCTGTGCATGCGAGGGAAAACCCCACCCAGAAGAAAAAGAAAAGCAAAAGAAAGCGGCAGAATTTTCGCCATGGTAACAGCCCGGACGTCCGGACCGGGTTCCAGACAGTCCGGTGTCCGGTGTCCGGTGTCCGGTGTCCGGTGTCCGGTCCCCATATCCAGATGGAGGCCCCTGGGGCAAAAAAAAAAATAAAAAATGGGGCAGCCCAGGACGTTTGTCAGGTCCTAGCCGCCCCTCGAAAAATAACGGAGTGATTTTTAAGTGTCCTTTCACCCCACCGGACATGGCCTAGAGGTCCAGACACAAGACACTGCAGGTTTTTGAGGTGGCAGGTTTCGCACAGGCCCGAGCAATTTCAAAGCGGCCGTTTCGACGTGGCGCCTGCCGCTACTGCCTGTTGGGAGAGAGAGAGAGAGAGAGAGAGAGAGAGAGAGAGAGA